TTGTGGGCTAATTTTCATTTTTGGGTGAACTAACCCTTTAAGAGCATTTTGCTCACTCACCATCATTGCTCTGCAGGGTTTTTCCCCCTCACATATTACTACTTGCATGCTTATGAACTGTCAAAAAGCCTTTAAATTTTGTACCGTTTCATCTGTATGATAGCAGATTCACTACCAGTTAACAGAATGAAATATTTGAGATTGCCTTAATATTTTTGAAAGAAATCTATTATGCTCACCAAGGCTGCATTTATTTGATACAATAAAAACAGTAACATTTTGAAATATTATTATGAATTACAATAATGATTTTCTATTTGAATATATATTAAAATGTAATTTATTCCTTTGATGTAAAGTGGAATTTTCAGCATCCATATTCCAGTTTTCAGTGTCACGTGATCTTTCAGAAATCATTCTGTGTGTTTAATTGATGCATTAAGTTGATCAAAAGTGACAGTAAAGACATTTATAATGTTACAGAACATTTCTATTTTAAATGAGCTGTTCTTTTGAGCTTTTTATTCCTGAAAAAAATGTATCGTGTATTTAAAAAAAATATTAAAAAACACAACTATTTTCAACAATGATAATAATGAGAAATGTGCCTTAAGCAGCAAATCAGCATATTAGAATGATTTCTGAAGGATCATGTGATACTGAAAACTGGTGTAATGATGCCAAAAATGTAGCTTTGTATCACAGGAATAAATTAAAATTAAAATTGTAATAATATTTCACAATATTACCGTCTTTACTATTTTTTGATCAAATAAATGCATCCTTGTTAAAAATAAGAGAATTCTTTCAAAAACATTAAAAAACGTAATTAAAAACCTTTTTGCTGGTACAGTTATGAAACTGTATCATATACTATTGTAATACCAGAGCTCTTGATGTATACCACGGTACTGAATGATTACCAGGCATACAGCATGTGGCTTGTTAATGTCACTGATGTAATTCTACATGTTTCTTCTATTAGTAATCAACCTCTTGGAGGCTCTTAACGTCACTCGCTCTACCCACGGGGTGTCTAAGGTCAAAGGTCGTGACCCAAAGACGCCGGCTTGGCGTTTCCGTTCCAACACGCCTCATCTCAAACTACCCCAGACACTTTTGGACTACCTCTTCAACACCTCACAGGGCGTCCTGGGTTTGCACCTGGTGGGCCGTCAGAGCAGAGGCTCGGAGGCCACCCTCATCTCCTTCACCTCCTCTACCTTCCTGCAGAATGGCGATCGCCCCCTGCTGGAGCTCGTCTCCAACACAAAAGCAGACAGGCTGCAGCTGGAGTTCAGGTCAGCGGACGGCATGCGGCCGGAGGTGCTAAAGTTGCCCGCCGGGAGTCCCTTTACGAGCAGAGGTTGGGTGAGGATGGCTCTGAGTGTGGAGCCCAGGCAGATGGTGCTGTATGTGGACTGCCAGGATGCCGTGGTGCTCAAACTGAAAGAAGGGGGACGAATCCTGACTCTGGACTTCCCACATGATCTGCAGGTTATCTTCTCCAGCACTGCAGGAAAAAAGGCCAGCAAGTTCAGTGTGAGTTTACTGATACAAACAAATATGTACCTACATGCTAGTGTATCTGGACACCTAAAAATTTGCCATTTTTTGACTTCTAATCAACTGATCCCAATGGAATTTTTAGTAAATTTATAAAGTCAGTTCTCCTCAAGTTCACACGGGTGTTGAGAATAACTACTGGTAAAGTTTTTCACAATAACTACACTATAAAGATTTGGTGTAGGAATTACTCTATTGGGTCATTCTGTGTCAAATCAACCAAATTTCAAAAACTTCCCAAGCTCAAATTTTTGATTCTGCTAATATTTTTTTCTGAAGAAAGATAAACGTATATAGTGATGAAAGCTAAAATATTAAATGTCATGGATGGATATCTACTAAGCAATCCACTGTTTTGTTGAAGGGGGTCAAAAGGCCATTTTTCACCTGAGATTCAGAGCCAAATTACAGGGGTGTAAAAATGACTTCAGCAAGATGGCACGTCATGGCAGCATCATAATTTTATTTTACACAAATTGGTAGGCCTGCTAGTAAAATCTGTTTACTTTAGCTGTCTTTGTTGCATTATGTGCCAATGGTGACCATTCAAAAATGGGGAAAGAACACTTTTCAAGTTTTTTCTCCAAAGTTTGCATGACTGTAACTCAAGAAGTTTTAGATATTGGTTCTTTCTTTACAAACTTTCCTTTTGGCATGTTCATTTTTAAGGCCCTATATAGTTCAGTTCCAGAGATATTGGAATTTCAATATGGCTCCAGGAGTAAAATGTTAATTTGCACAAATTTTCAGTGGTCAAAAACCAATTGTAGGTCACTTTGAGGAATGTCTGCAGAACAAATAATGTTGAAACCAGTGGTGTATAAAGTACCTGAAAGTCATACTCAAGTAAAAGTACAGATATCTTACCAGAAAATGACTTTGATAGAAGTTGAAGTCACCGTTTAGAATATTACTTGAGTAAAAGTCTTAAAGTATGTGATATTTATTGTACTTAAGTACAAAAATTATTTTTTTAATCCTAAACGTACTTAAGTATTGAAAGTAAAAGTACAAGTAAATGCAAAATGGAAAAGAAGCAAATAAATATATATATATAAAAACTGTTCATACACAGCTTGAGTAGCAATATTGTGTTCAGTTTTAACTCTTTCTTCCATTTTGTATTTTTGGTTAAGAATAAGAAGCACTTCACCCGATACTTAGTGTCTTTCATTCCAACATAAGAAAACATATCTGGAATCTGCATCTGAAATAACATTTAGGTGTATATACAGTTTATGTATCTCAGAGGGGACATGGATGCATTTAAACTGCAGTTACAGATGCATAAATAGGTCTAATGTTTTGTTTTTAACATAAAACGTTGAATACTGATATTTAAAATAATTTAAAACATGAAAAAAATAGTCGAAATGTGAAATCACCAGTAGGTGACAGCAAGTGACTGTTAATGAGTGAGTCATTGAGATTCAACCGATTCATTCAAACGACTGATTCATTCAGGAACAAAGCATTTGACTGTGTTAATGAGTGAATCACTGAATCATTTATTCAACCGATTCGTTCAAAAACCTGATTCATTAAATAAGTAAACACGGTCCAATTGCTCAGAGACGCAAAACAGTGCTGTGATCTTTGTTTGGAACAAGCAAAAACAAGCAATATTATGTCTAAAATGTATGTCACTTATTGCTTTACTGAACTTGTATAAGATGATTATTAAATGTGTTTATGCTGAAAAACTGTACTCTTTGTGTGATATAGATTAAGTTAAATATATTAAATTATATAAATATAAAAAGCATACAGAAACATTTTTGCCATCTACAATTTAGAATGCCTGGAATTTTGAGTTTTAATAGATAAATCAATGCGCGTGCACTCTGTGTGATTTGGTGAGCCTATAGCCTACTTGATAATGTCAGATCGCACATCATTACAACAACTCTTACCATATTATCGCAGACAATGCTGTATTGCACACCCCAGACTCGACTTGAGTGGAAAATAAATCACCCGTGGTTGTGTGCGCACTTGTTTGCACGTGAGCAAAGGTGTTTTTAGGAGTCTAAAAGCACCAGACCACTGATTAGTCAAACCTGCTTCCCTGCAGTCCGTGTTCTTCTGACTTCTGACTATTTTGTAGTAAGTAACGAATATGCTTTGGGAAAATGTATCGGAGTAAAAGTATACATTTTAATTAGGAAATGTAGTGGAGTAAAAGTTGGCTGAAATATAAAAACTCAAGTAAAGTACAGATACTCCCAAAAAATACTTAAGTACTGTAACAAAGTATTATTACTTCGTTACAATACACCACTGGTTGAAACTAGAAATGTGTCTCGTTTCCTTGTGTCAAAGCAACTGCATTGAACAGACCTGTCTGTGCCATAAATATTCTTTTTCCAAAGTTTGCGTGCCTATAACTGAAGAAGTATTAAAGATATTGCAATATAATTTTAGATTCTAATTAAGTTAATCTTCATTTTCAAAGCCCTATATCATTCAGTCCCAAAGATATGGGGCTCTCAATGAGACAGCCAATACTTATTTTAATTAAACCATAATGTCTAAAGAATAAATAATGTTAAAATTTTCCTCTATCTAAACAATATGCATTTGAGTGCTACAAATGCACTGAAATGGTCAATTTGAGGCACATTGCCTTGCTCTCTGTAGTCTGTTCATAAGATTTGAATCAGTTTCAGGGATATTTGGAAGAAGGGATTTTGTTCATTTTAACAGCTTCTGAAGCTACCAAGAGTTGAGATATGTAGTATCGTATCATGTTTGAAACAAATGTCACTCCTCATAGGAAAGTGAACAGCTATGTGGAAATGGTGGGGAAATATCCATTTTGGCACCAGATGGTGTATTTACAGCATCTATGGAAGAAAAAAACTGTTTGGTTACCAACATTCTTCAAAATATCTTATTTTTGTTTTGTTTTCAACAGAAGAAAAAATCCCAATGTTAATTTTTGAGTGAACTGTGCCTTTAAAGCATTCTACAGAGGTGATTGTTCTGGTGTTGTCATTGCTTATCTGTTTTACGACGTTATGGTCATGACTTTGCAATGGGTTGCCATGATTACAGAGTTCATTGTGTTCATGGTCACAGAACTGACTGTATGTGTTTTCTCATCGTTTCAGGGTGGTTGGCAGACAGCTGAACTCTCCACCAGGGCATATGAGAGGCGTCCGTGGTTCTGTGACAATGTAACAGGCATGAAAACAATAAAAACATTTAAACATCTGAACTACACATGCACATGAAAAAAAAAAACACACAGCAGAGCTGAAAATATAGGTCATACAGCTTCTTCTGATGTAAAGTTAGGACCCACAAGAGGGTTTGATTCAGGTTTATAGATATTTACATATGTTATGTTTTCTTTTTTGGCTATAGGTTAATGTCAGCTAGTGCATTTTTGGGGTGTAGTATTATTTTATAAGGGATATTTATGATTGTTTTCTGGGAACCTTATTACTTTTTTTGCCCTCCAATACTCATGGTGAATTTATGCTTCAGCATTATAGATCATATACTGATGTACACATCTTGAAATTTGTCCAAAATATTCAGGTTGAAAAAAAAGCATGTTTTTCATCACAATACACATTCATGTTTTATAATCTGTGTGTTTGCATGCATTTGTGTGTTTGTGGTTATTACAGACTCCCTTCCAGACACAGTCATTCCCATCAGTCCCACCGCAAACTATAACCTGGATATGATGCAAGATCAGGGAGACCGTGGAGATGGCATAGTATCAGCTACAAGATCCCCCACTGAATCAAACATGCGTCTTGGCCAACTGGAGAACAACCTGCATAACATCAAGACCATGCTGGACATGCTGAAGAGACAGGTACATTGGAAACGTATCTCCAATAGGCATGCTGGTGTGTCTGCACTTGGAAAAAAGGACTAGAAAGTACTGTGGTACTATCAATGTTTTTTTGGAAGTGAACCACGACCATATCAGGGTTTGTATAAGGGAAATGTACAATGATAGGCATGTGGTTTACAGTATTGAATTACCTTGGAGTACCATGTGAATGTCATGGTAAATTAATATGGTAATTATTTACCATAATAGTATATATGTCAAAGTGCTGTTGTTATCATTAACTAAAACGAAAACTATTAATTGATATAAAAGCTGAAATATAATAAAATGTCAATATTAGATTACAAATTTCAATTAAAAATATTTAATTATTGACAGCTAACTGAAATAAGTGATAAAATTACTAAATGAAATTAAACTAAAAATTAAACTAAAATTAAGCTAAATCCAAAATAAAATATAATCTATAAATATAAAAAAACCTAATAAAAAAGGACAGTACATACTGTATCAAATATATTATTGTTGGCAAACTAAAACTATTTACAAAATATAAACTGAAATAA